CCCGCTGCCCTCGGCATGGCCGCCCCACAGCCCGGCAGCACTGGCCCTTCCCGGTGCGGGGGCCAGCCCGGGGGGACAGGGTGGGTGCTGCTGGGCGGCCGATTTTCCCCCGGGATGATGGAGAGGGAGCTGTCACGCAGAATCCAGAGCCCTCGCCATTCTTCTCCTGTCATTTTTAAGGATGACCCATAACGTGTGAACGCCACCCGCAGTCGAGGCCTATTGACGCTCCTGAAGCGAGCGGCTGCGTGGCCGAGGAAGCCTTAAGCGAGCACTTAAGCCGTAGTGCTGCCGAGTGCCGGGTGGCTCCGCACCCCCGGCTGCGCCGGGCTCCTCACAGCCAACTCCCACAAGCACTTTTATCGCAGAGTTATTAGGCCATTATGGTCTACGATTGTCTTTTACTGCCTTTGATTTCTTCTGTTGTCAGGCGTGAGGCAAGCGATGTGTAATATGATCCAAAGTGTTCTTGTTTGTTTTAATCTACTGTTTTAATATATTATGGCTTCCTGCCATTATGCCTTTCTGAGATGGACCCTGGAGTCACTCACAGAGGTTTTATATGTGCAGAAGCTGAAAGGCATTTCTCCAGTGGGTACATCTTATGGCAGGCAGAGCTAATCTTAGGTTTTTCTCCTCTGTGTGTGTGTGTGTGTGTGCGCGCGTTGACGCTGGTTGTTTCCGCCTGAGCGTCGGCAGTCCCACCATGCTGCCTATCACGAGAGTTCTTCCATCCTGAGTGTTTTGCTTAAGCACCTCTGTGCCATATGGGCTAAAAATATCAGTATCCCTGGCACTGCAGAAGCTTTTTCCCCCAAAGAAAGGCAGCTGCTTTACAACAACACGTGGTACCGTGGTGCAGTTTGCCCTCTCTGCCGGCTTCCAGGCTTCCCCCCAGGGTTCCGCGAGGCTTCACACCGGGGCTGAGCATTGGGCTCAGAGAAGGCGGCAAGGCTGTGAGTTAAAATCCCCGCTGCCAGCGCTTCGTCTGTCCAGGAGGGGCCTGGGCCGGGGTCACCGCGGGGTCCAGCACTGTCAAGTTCAGGCAGAGGAGGAGGAGGAGGGGAGCGTGGCACCTGCTCCTTGGGGCTGGGCTGCTCTGTCCTGCCTGCAAGTGGGGGGAATGTTTTGGGGAGCACCCCGGGCTCCCTGCCCCACGCCCGGGGGAGTGGGGGCACCAGCCAGCACTGCCCGCCCCGGGATGTCCCTGCATCCCTGTGATGAAGTGCTGCATTTTGGTGGGCTTTTTTTCTAACACTGGTGGCAAAACGGAGGGGGTTTGTAAAGCATTTCAGCCTGGGATAATCGTGTGAGCGCCGGCAGGGTTAAGAAGCAGCGATCTGAGGGAATGCACAGGAATGAGCTGCTCCGGCGGGGACAGGGAGGTTGATCCCCTCGCCCCGGGAGGTGAAGCCTGCCCTGGACCCGAGTACAGACATCACGACCCGGCGCTGGGAAAAGCCTTGGAAGGAGAGCGAGCTGCAGGTCTTGTCTGGGGGAGAGCTGCCGTGGGGGGTGGGAGCTCTGCCCCGGGGATGCTGCTCCAGCCCCGCAGGTCGCAAGGAGGAGACCTTTTGGGCTCACACCCGTGTGATTTTCAGGCCCACATTTGACTCAACCATAAGCCAATAAACTGAGGTGGGCGAAGAAGAGCCCCACGTAGGTGGTGGGTCCCCGGTGCCACGCGGGGATTTTCCGCAGTGAAAGCATTTGGGGCTGAAGCCGAACAGATCCAGCACTGCAGCCCGGCTGAAATCCTGCCACGCGCTCGGGTCATCCTTCAGCTTTTTGTCAGCTTAATGAAATGGTCCCATTTCCTTCTTCCAGATGTGCCCACTGCTAAGTGCCTGGAAAATGCGTTCCCTGGGGAATGAGCCCGCAAGTGAAATGGAAATGACCTACCGTGGGCTGCATTAGTCTCCGTGTCATCGCTTTTATCTCCCTGCTGGTAAAGTGTTTTTATCCTTCCAGTGGTCAGTTGCCCTCCCAGCCCTTCCCCAGCCCCATGGCCACCCCGGCAGCACCCGCTCCCGCCGTCCTCACTGCCTCCAGCCCATGGTGTGGGGAGGGCACCTGCAAAAACCCCCCAGCCCAGCTCCCTAGCCCAGCTCCCTCCTTGCTCTGACCTGCTTTGGCTCCTTCCCCGGGGCGGGGGGTCTGGGGGGAGCCTGCAGGGCTGCGTCCATCGCTCCCAACGTGGCCCGGGCCGTCGTGGCGGTGCGAGGGGAGCGGGGGGCCAGGGCAGGGCCCTCGGGGGTGCCCAGCCCCGTGTGTGAGCTGCCGGGGCACCGGGCTCGGGGAGGGGGGGGCTCAGTTCCATCCCCTGCCTTGGGGGTCCCCGCCATGCCCCAGCCAGAGGGTGAAGGTGGAAAGGAGACCGGAACGGCATGTCCTGGGCGCTCTGACGCCAAGTGCTGAAGAGGCAGGTCTTGCTTTTATTTGCACCGGTGGTCGCTCAGCAAAGTTAAATGAAGCGGCATAAATTTAATTAATGGCAGAATCTGGCCCGGTGGCGAGAGAGGAGTATGGAGAGAATGAGCATGAAAACGAATTCTTCCATGATTTTATTAACCCCAAGGTTAACCATCGGTGCTAAGGTTAGATTCAAGATAATAAACCCCACGGTGCCTTTTTACCGTCAACAGTGCCGCAGCCCCCGCGGCTGCGCTGAGCCCAGCCCGGGGACGGGACATGGGGGGCTGCAGGGTCCTGTCCCTCCGGCAGCCCCCGCCCCTGCCCTCCCTGGCTGCGGGACCCCAGGGAGAGGAACGGCACTGGGGGGGAATCTTCCAGCACTGCCAGAAGGTTGAGGAAGGAAAGGGACGTTTTTATGGGACTGGGGTTTTTTAAGAGCTAAGCACAAAAAAGTGTTTTTCTCTGTTCGTTTAGTTTTGCGTTTGATGAGATTACTCAAGGGGAAAAAATAAAAAGACTGGCCCATAGCTGGAGTAAAATGAATGAACAAATGTAAACCTGCTTGCTGTTAAATTTTAGCTCGAGGAACCGCCTGCCTCCTCCGGTAGTGCTGCTTCAGGGGATGGTAGTGTGATAATTTACTTAATTTTATGGTAATTACACTGCATCATGTAATTCCATGACTTACAGAAATATACAGCGATTTCTTTAGCAAACACCTTCACGGCTGTAGTGTAGACAGCGAGGTGCCACCGACCCAACCGGCTTTTGCAATTTTTTGGGAAAACCAGAGGCCATTGGAAAAGGAGAATTTGGATGAAGCAGCGGAGGCTGCTGACACCTGCCCTTGCTGCTCCCTCCCGCGGCTGGTTTGCCCTGGGCAGTGGCCGGAGCCCCCCGGGAGTGGTGTCGGGGGCCATCGCTGAGGGGGGCTGGTTCCTCGGGGGCGTTCCCCTCTCTGAGCAGGACCTGGCACGTCCTGGCCAGGCTGAGACAGGATTTTGCAGACCAGCTCGGCTACAACTGCTGGCGCATCTGCTTGTCCCACCTGTGAGACCTAAACACGATGCCCCCCCTCTCCCCAGACCAGCAGAGATTGAGGTGCTGGGGAGAAGGGGGGAGCATGTGGGCCCTCAGCCCAGCCCAGGAAAGATGGGCCACGTTCCCATCACTTCTCTCCGAAGCGCTGCCAATGCTGTCACTCCCCCAGCCCCGGGGGAGCCAAGGCCTTTTTGGGGGGAAGGAGGATGCTCAGCAGCAGCAGCGTTCACCCCCTTTTCTTCTCTTGCTCTGAGCCTGCAGAGCAAAGCAGCGTCCCCCCCTCTGCTCGGGAGTGTTCCCTTTCATTCAGTCAGCTGCAGGATTACAGAGTTTTTCTCCATGAAAGACCTTCACTACTGTCGTGCCAGAGCCCAGGTCCCTGCCTTGCGAAGACCTGCGAGCAGCGGCGGCGAGGTGGATGTGCACGGCCGTACCGCCCGTGGTAAGCAGGAGGAGTAAAGGTTAATGCTCTGGGAAGTCTGTGCGGGAGGAGACGGGCTGAGGAGGTTTGCAAAGCACTCGCTCCGCTTCAGGAATCACCCAGGGGATAATGAAGTTGCTTCTCTGCCTGCCCTGATTTGTCCCTGCTCCGTTACAGTCCCTGTCTGGCACTAGCCACGCGGGCTGTGTTCGCAGAAGAAGGTGCCAGATCTTTTTTTCTGAGTTCTTTTTTGCTCCAGTAACAGCCCGAGCAGGAAAGCTCCGCTCTGCCCCTGGGGCAGGGTCAGGCTACGGTGAGCAGCTCGGCACTAGGAAGGCACCCGGAAAAAAACAGGAACGTTTGATCGCACAAGGAAGCAAAAGCATTGTTTTCCTCCTTTATTGAACTTTGGCAAATAATATGTGTGTGTGGGTTTTACATCAATAGCTATAAATAAAAATTTGAAAGCAATGTAATACTTGTCATTAAGATAAAGGACATCTATTGGCACAAATCATTGAGTAAAAACCCTTTAATGATAAAATAACATTCACTCTTTAGCTACTTTATTTGTCTGAAAAACTCAGCTTACACTCAGTTCAACGTATCACCTTCCACAAAGTTAAAAAATGACATAAAATGACATAATAAAATATACCTTAAATTTCATCATACAAGTACCTTGGCAAATCTGAGCAAGCTGGACCGTCTGCTGCTGGCCGCAGCAGCGAACATTGCCATTGCCTCCCAT